CTAGAAGGCTAAAAACAGACAGTTTTAAAGACTGAACTTCCTGAAGCCCCAAATACCCTGTCTTTATTCAGACTGCAATATAATATAAAATACAGTATTTGCTAAAATCAGCTGCTTTTTTCAAGAAGGATATAAAGAAATTCAAAGCTTAGTGAAAATTGATATGATTACCTTTGTTACTACAAATTTTGACTTGTATGTACACCAATATCAGAAGAGTGGGAAAAAATCCACAGGAGTAATAATCTCCTTTTTTATTTTAAAAACGAGGCTAAAGAAATATATAACTCCAAACCCTTACATCTGTCCAGTGGAGCACCATCTCACAGACAGCAATGATTTCCAGACATAATGCCTCAAATGCTTTAAATGAATCTGCTGTTCAGACAATCCGTGCTTATACATGGTAAGCCATGAATACACACACACCTGTGTTGAAAAAGATGAATAATAATACATGAGCCCCAATAGACTGCATAATTCCATATACAGACATCTGTATATTACACACAACTATAGTATTTCATAATTCCCTGGACAACTATTCTCATTGAATAAGATCCAAATTTTCTAGGACTAAATCTGGACCTAATCCAGACAAACACCAATGACAATGATAGATTGGGTGAAAATGGGCAGATGGTTTACATACTGAACTATGCTGGCTCGTATCTAAGTATTATACAGCCTTGAATTAGATCAGCTTTCTTCCCACCTGGCATCCTGTAGATATACTGATCTACAACTCCTACAAATCCAGAAAGGTTCTAGCTCTGCTAAATGGAAGTTTTAGGAATCATACTTCAATGTATCTGGAAAAAACTGTTTTAATGTATTTCAAGGAACAGCTAAATACAGCTGTAGTTAGCAGTGAATGTAAGTGTCAGATGGATCTCTGTCCTTCTGGTTTCTACAGGACTCATTTATGACTAATTTATCTGGCTTGGAGCCAAAGTCTTTTCAACAAACATCAGCTATTTCTTAAGTACAAAACAACTTATTCATATTGGGACCAAAAAATTGACTCAAAACACAGAGAGGGAGCTAGTTCAGTTATCTTGTTCTTTCCTTTCTTTGATGTATTTGTCAAGTGATATATCTAGCAAAGGCTCTTCAAATTACCTTTCGTATATATGGAAATATGTACAGCTGTTTGAGAAGACAGAGTGCCTATTCATAAGTGAAAGATACAGGACCCATTGACACTTGGACATCAGCTAAAGTAGATCAACAAGTGGAAAACTTCTTGATTCTAAATGTTACTGAACTTTTAGAAGAGGAAGCCTGGGTAGACAAAATAAACAAGCATCCAGGGTACTATAGTTCTGAATACTGTATTAGGAGAACCACCAGTGAATTAAGGAGTGGAACTCTCCATCATGTTAATTTAATTACAGTTTAATGAATAAGCCCTAAGTCCTCATTATATACATGCTGCATTACTGTTATTATGCTAGGGCTAGGCTAACCCAGTTTGTAACTTAGTGGCTGAAACTGCACAAATGCATAACTTTGTAAAAGTATTCACAATTGTTATTAACTTTTGCATATGATGCAAAAGATGAGTAGATACTGGATTAATTCACTGATTGATAATCTTAAATAATGTTCAAGTGGTCATCTAACCTTTATCCCTAATTATCCTGGATAATTAGGGGATCTAGTACTGTACAGATCTCACTTACCTATCAGCATATTCTAACTTATGATCTAAAAACAACTAGCTTCATCATCTACCATTCAAAGCTCCTCCTCTCTAAAGAGATTCAACCCTTTCTTCATTCTTTCTCCAGCTCTTATTTCCTTCAAATCTATTCTGAGAAGTCATCATTTTCAAAAACCCTTTAGCAGAACCATATACACCCTATAACATAGCACCCTGTAACATAGCACATGGATTTCAAAACATAACATATTCCTTTCCAGTTTAGTCCTTCATCTACTTTCTCTGGGCCACATATTAGATTGCAAGGTCTTCAATACAGGTTTAGACTGCATTGCTTCCAACTTAATAGTGCACTTCAACTGCTCATATGACTCCCAAAAATTACAAGCAAAGAAGAAATCAATCTGCTTTCCTTGGATTCCAGCTTGAGACCCTGAAAATCTTATGCACAAAAAGTATGTGCATAATTAAGGTGTCCCTTCCAACTATGAGGGAGCTTTTCAATGATTCCATTTTGTATGATGGCCCTTTTATTTTTGAGACAGAAATTCTACAACCTTGTGGGAAACACATCATTGGAGCTGCCCTTGAATATATTTGTAAGCCGTACCTAATGAAGACAATCTGCTCCTGAAAGCAGGAGATTTACGCTATCAAATTTCAAAATTAGTATTGGTCTGGATTAAATTCAAATGGGATTTTTCAAAGAACAGCTTAAAGATGCAACTCTTTGGTGTTCAAGAAAGGAATTGAAAAGTATGAGTTCCAACAAGCTTTTGACCTCAGCAAACAAATCTGGATGGATGTGAGAGGAGTTTGATGCAAAATCAGTCTATTGTTGTGGTTTTAATTACCGGGGGCCAAATAAGAGTTCACTTTCCCTTTTTACTTTTCTGTCTAATCACCAGAGTTTTGCAACTCTATTCATATATTTATCTGTTCAAACCATTCTCTCCAGACTGTAACAGAAAACTAATGTACTGTACTTATTAAAAGATGAAGTCCAGGGATCATATTCTAATCCTTCCAGACATGAAGATTACTCAGCCACCTGAATGACTAATATGTTGTCTTTAATTGGCCTTCAAAAAAATTTAAAATAGAATAATCACTGTAAATAGAAGTTAAAAAAGAAACAAAGGTAAGTTGTAGAAGAGGCCTAAATCAGTAATTTTAAAAAAAATATTAATATTTTGATTAAATTGTTGTTGATATTGGGACAAAGGGACTAGGATTACTGATATCTGAATTCTGTGTTTTTTTTTTAATTCTTCTTTAAGTAAAACTACTTGCCTGCACTCCAAAATACTTTTCATTGCTAGCAATTAAAAATCAAATTTATCTTCCACTAATGAACATTGGAGAATAAGGTCTATTAAGGTATTTACCAAAACTAAAAATTACTTTTGTGAGTTTTTCCATCACCTATTGCCTTTAAATTGGATAATAATCCAGTTTAAAGACTTGTATGTGCATGTAACACACAAGAAGAGTTATCTTCTTGGTTATTCTAACAAGTAGCAAAAGGTTGTATGAATAGTGCAATAAATAGGAGAGGGAGAGCAATATAAAAGTTTCATGGTCATTGGAAGGAATTCTAGGAGCTATCATTCAACAACAACTGAAGGGACAATTACTACTGAGTTAAAAAAAAATGTTAATCTGCATGAGTAGGATAAATATGTACCAGAGGCCCCCAACTTAGTACCTGACACAACTCATATAATCAATATTAACATGGACTATGTTGACTGAGAATGATAAACATTACAGTGTGCATGAAGGATGATAGGTGGCAAAGTGTTGCTAAAGCATAATATCTATTAATGTAATTTCCAAGTATAGCCATTCTGTGAAATTTGGCCAAGTTCCCATTTCACATAAAGCACAGCATTATTTTTAATTTAGTATGTTATTGTGATTTGAAAATTTGAAAATTATGGTTTGTGTTTAAGTGTACTGGGTGAGACAACTTTGTCTTGGACAATAAATGATAGTTCAGCAAACCAAGCTTTAGGGCAGGGTTGTCCAACTTTCACAACTTGCTGGCTGGGGAATTTTGGGAGTTCAAATCCACAGGTCTTAAATTTGTCAAGACTGGACACTCTTGCTTTAGGGGAATGTGTAAAACCAGTCTGTTTTTTACCAGTATGCACTGAAGTGGAGACAGCATTCTTTAGATTTGGGGGGGGGAGGCAATGTTGATGTTCATCATACATAAAATCTATTCTGCACACTTTAAATCACTTTTCCGTTCAACAAATTACTTTTTAAAAAAGAATGATTTCTTCAAGTAGAAGAAGCCTTTTATTTTTGTTCAATGTTAGGAATTTTTAAATTAAAAAAACTCCTACCCTGTCCTTAAAGTTCTTTAAATCCACTGATTGACATTTTTCAACCAAGTACAAAAAGCCAAACATCTGGCATAAATTGCCGATCCTCGTTTTGTCCACCATTTCTTTCATAACTATCCTTGCAAAACCACCTTAAATATTTCTTGGATTCCTAGGCCTCCATTCCCTTCCAAACTGGCTCATGTAATGATAGCAATGACAGATGGGATTGTAAGAGGGGAAAGTGGAAAGCTAGACCTACATTTTCAGTGCACCAGAATCTTACCCAAGCAAGAGACCGTTATTATAGCTCCCGCAAACCTATTCTTTCCTCACTGGCAACATAATAGGAACTCCTTGACTTGCAAAACAGGAAGGAAAAGAGCATTCAAAAGTTATGCAGCAAGTTCCTTGGAAGAAACAAAAATAATTGAAGAGAAGGTTTTCTGGTTCTTCCTTCTTCTTTCTGGTTCTGGAGAGGCAAAACATTCAACTGATTTCCTTTTCCCGTCAGAGGCACTCTTTCACTTCTGCTGAAATTCCTAACTCCGGGCTCTCCACCATATTTAACTCTCTTTTGAGAACGCCTAATTAACTCTTCTTGCATCTGGGAAAGTCCCACTGGGATGTCCTCTAATAGCAAAAGCTTTTCAGAAGACCCATTCCCCCCAAAAGGGGAAACTTATGTCATACTTAGAAGACAAAAAGAAAATAAAACCATAAAGAAATCCAATTCCAGATCAATTTAAAAAAAAAAAAAAAACCCTCTTGCATCAGCTTGCCCCCACCATGATGCTCTCTTTAAGGGTATTGGATTTCATCTATACCAAAGCCAGCCAGGCTTCTCCGAGCAAACCCAGATTGCTAAGAGCAGGATAACTTTTTGAAGGCAGCTGAAAACCTGTTGCTTTTCTTTCCACAAGAAAATTATTCCCACTCCAATGTTCGTTCACCCACCCAGGCTTCCTACACCCCACTTCTGCAATGGATGCGTTTCTCACCGTGTTGTAGAGGAGGGCTTCGGAGTCCACCGGTTCCGACAGCTCACTCAACTTTCGATCCCACTGGAACAGGTTCTGCTCCCCACTGTCCAGCACCTCCATAGTCAGTCGGGGCCCAGCAAAACCAAACGTATGGGGGACAAGGAAGGGTGCAGATGGAACCCTCTCAGCGGCCCTTTAATACCGTCCTGGAAAGCAGCCTTGTTCCATAAGGTGGAGCGTCATTAGGAGCCACGACCCCTCATGCGACTTCCACTAGCAATAAACCCAGCCACTCTCTTATCTCCCAGAAATGGCTACTCCGCTTTAAAAGGAGGCTGAAAACTTCAAGAAAACACCGCAACAACACTAGTGGATTCAAGAGGTGAAGCGTCACCGTTTCCTACGTTGGAACCAGCACAGACGGGCAGTTTTACGTCTCGCAGACTGTGGAGCTTGGATGCGCGACTACCCTCCCCGCACCGCCTTCGACCTCACAGTGACAACAGAGGCAGCTTTTCCTGCAGCTACCCCACTACCCAGGCTGGATTCCGCCTCCTGGCCAATCCCCAAAGCCGAGCGAGCCTGCGTCTAAGGCTGCCGACCAATCAGAATCCACGAACCGCTACCCGTGCTAAGAGACCCGCCCTCCCTGTTCCAATGCCGCTTCGGCCCCCATTCCAGCTGTGGAATGTGGGCGGGAAATCCCAAATACGTCAGTGAGGGGAAGGCCCTCGGATTTGTTCGGCTTTGCTGTTCGATTTGTCCCGGCTGACCAATAACCTTGGCTCTGTCAGCTGCAGGGAGCATGAATTGCAGCCAATGGCTTAACGACAAGAATACAGCTTCGGGAGAAACCCCGCCTGCTGTGAGGAGTGGAATGAAAATAAAGCACTGAAGGGAGACCGAGAGGAAAGGAGTTGTTAACTTTTTAAATGGGGGCTACCGGGTGACATTTAACCAAAGGGGAGAGGAAGTTGCCCACGTAAAAGGGATTTCTGTTGGCCTTCAATTAAAAGCCCAGGGCAGCGAATCAGCTTCTCCCTGTAGTTCCGGATTGACTCATCCTTCAGTCTATATAAACTGGGTGCAAAGGTTGCTCTTTCTTAAGAAAGCAAACACGTACAGGGGGAAATAAGGATATATTTAATCCTGGCAGCAGGAACAGAAAGATAACAAGGTCAATTAACAAAAATGCCCCGAATTGATCTGCATGGAGTCCTATCTAAGGCCTTCCACACATCTTGGGTAACAATTTCCATCATTCCCGGCCAACATGCCCAAGCACCAGCCTTTCTCAGTTGGATGTGTTTCCAAGATGCTGGATGCAGATTTCACGAGCTCTTTTGATGGAATTTGAAGTCCAAGACATTTGGAGGGTATGACAATTGAAGAAAGTTGCTGGAATGTGTGACTCACAGAGCTACAAGATTTGGGTTGCAAAAGATCCAGAACCCAGCAGAGAGATAGACAGATTTCTCTATATACAGGTAGTCCTTGTTTAGTGACTGCCTCATTTAGCGATTGTATGCAGTTACAACCATAATGAAAAAGTAACTTTATGACCAATCTTTACATTTATGATCTTTACAGGTCCGTAAAGCAAAAGAAAGCTTAAGATGATAAGCACAGTCATAGTTTCACTTAATGATCCCTTCCTTTAATAACCAAATTGCCAATTCCAATTGTGGTTCCTAAACAAGGATGACCTGTACTGCTACCTAATGTTGCCTGGTGTTCTGTAGACAAGATCTGGTAGCCCTGGACCAGACCCTTCAATTTAACATTTGCATTCCAAGGTAGGTTACCTTAACTATAACTTACTCAGATTTAGCAAAAGAAATAAAGAGCAAAAGGTAGATCATTCTGCAAAGCCTGGATATTTAGTAATAAAATATTGTCTTAAATATTGACAATATCTCAAGTCATATGCACACGTATTTAGGAGTAAGCCCTATGAATACAATACTTATTTAAATAACCGCACTCACATCCTGTGAAAACAGGATATTTAGAGCAAGGATGTCACTGGAGAATTTAAAAGTAAAACTATTTATAAAGGTTAGGTATATATTTTCAACTTCCCAGACCTCTTGCCACATAAAATTGTAAACAAAACAATAGGAGGGAGAAGAATAAGATTGATAGTACGCTCTAAACTTATTCATGTTATAAAGCAGAAAGTGGCTTAAGCTATATCACAGCTTTTCTTGATACAGTGTCCTTAATATGTTTTGGACCAATTCTCAGAATTGTTAAATAGTTCTTTGCTTATAATGCTGTGGAAGAATTCTGAAAGTTCGAGTTCACTATATCTGCACAACATCAAGCTGCAGATTCTCTCTCAATCTGGTGTTAAAATAGTTGAAATTTATCTTTCAGGTTTTTCCAGTTACCAGACATAAATGGGAAAACATAAACCACATTTATTATTTCTTGATGGACAAATGAGAAAATAGGTAATTGAAACATACTGCATAACAATCACTGAACCAAATTGCTGTGGTTTTTTTCCAAAGATGGAAAATAATTGGGGAAGATGATTGAGGGAATTATGGTTTTTCAACTTCAAGAGGTGCTGGAAGAAGCAGAGATTCTAACCTACTTCAAACTGGCTTCAGGAGATGAAGGATTGAGACTGTTTTAATCCATCTGATGAATGATGTTTGATTTAGAATGCAAAGCACTGTTGACTGTTGTGTTTTTTTTGAGCTCTCAACAGACTTAAATGGTACTACTGATCATAGTAAACTTACAAATTTACTTAAATTATTAATAATATTTATATAGCCACCATCTCTCCAAGGTGACTCTAGATGGCCATAAAAATTAAAACAAAAGTAACAGTTCATAAATCAATACCGAAAAACCAAAATATAAGATATGCTTGGTGTCAAAACTAATTCTACTTCATCTGTCTATGGAGATTCTTAATCATCCAGGTCATGGTTATCCCAAAGGTGCTTTTTCAAAAGGCAACTAGACTTTGTTTTTCTGTGAAGATGTTTTTCTTCAAGGAAGCAAAGCTGCTTGGATGAGAAGCAAAATGTCTTCAAGGAAAACAAAGTCCAATTGCCTTTGATAAAAAACATCTTTACGATTCCACTTCATCATTAAAACACTGAGTCTTCAACTTTCTGGGCCAAATTCACCAAGAAACCTCCAAGTCTTTAATGTCTTACAAAAGACCAACAGGATCATCTGGCTTCCCAGGAGAAGGCTGTTTGAAAGGACACATGAAATGACAGAGAAGACATTACTCCGAAGTCCCACAAAATGGTACTAATAAATAGGTCATAAAGCATGCCAACTCTACTAGGTCTGGTGGGGGAATGGAGATGGTTGGAGATGGAAAATCCAGCCAATAACCTGGCCCTGTACCATGTGAGACTTTACAGCTAAATAACCAGAATCTTAAATTGCACCGGATCAATTTCAGTTTAATGTAATGGTTAAGACATTAGACTGGAAACCAAGAGACCATGAATTTTACTCTCACCTTAGACATAAAGCCAGCTTGGGCTAATCATTTTTGTTCTAGGAAGGAGGCAGTGGCAAATGACTTCTGAAAAACATCTGCAGCGACTTGTCCAGGCAGTCTCCGAGAAACAGAAATGATTGAATGGAAGAAACAAAATTCAGATGATGTTATTTGAAGACATTTGTGCCTCAGACTATAAGCTATTACTTACCATACCTTGGGGCTTTATTCTGTCTGCATGAAGTGGTTACTATCAGTATCCTGTTGTCACTTAGATTTATTTCTCTGCAACATCTTCAGGAAATGATTCAACTCGCCTGAAAGTCTGCTTTATTCAGTATGGGATAATCTGAAACTGATTCCAGACTAGACTCTTTTAAGAAATTATGGGGTTATAATCTCCCAGAAGTAGAGTGCACATTTTAGAGATTGAGAAAATGGAAAAGAGCAAGTTTTGACCACTTTACATGCTAACTGTATTCCATTCTGAAAGAATATTGTTTTAAAACCATGGTGCACACTATTATCTCATTAGTTTTGTAATATGTTCTGTTTGGAGGTACCATTTTGCCTAGCCTAGAAATGTCAATCCAGCAGCCAAGTTGGTCTTGGGAAAAAGATAAGGAGACCACATAATGCCAGTTCTTAAAAGTATTGTGACTACCAACCTGCTTCCAGGCAAAATACAGTGCTGTTCATTGCATTTAAAGTCCTAACAGTTTAGGTCCAGGTTATCTGAGGGACAGTCATTTTCTGTATAACCTTTCCCACTTTCTGAGATTGACTTATTGTTGCTGTCAGCTCATCTGCAGACTCTTTTGCTTTTCCAACGATAGCCCAGCAGAGTAGAGAATCTATCATATCCATTAGCTTTTTAAAGGGCCATCAAAATATATATTTCTCAAAGATGAGAGACAGGGCCATTCTCTACTAGTTCTTATTAACTATTAAGGCAGCCCATTTGGCTGAGTTCAACATTGCTGTAGTCATAATGTTCCTGATTTGTGGCTTACCATACTGGCTTAATGTTACCTACAAACCAGGTCATGATAATTTCAATAACATTAAAAGAAAATGGAACTTAAATAATAATAATAATAATAATAAATAATAATGTTGATAAGAAAGACAAAAAAGTCTGGATAGTGGACATGGCAGTGCCTGGAGACAGCAGAATAGACGAGAAAGAACTGGAGAAGATAACAAAATACAAAGACCTACAAATAGAAATAGACTGTGGCAAAAGCAAGCAAGGGTAGTACCAATAGTCATAGGCTCCTTGGGTGCAATCCCAAAACAACTGGAGCACCACTTGAACACCATTGGCATTGACAAATTCGCTATTAGTCAATTGCAAAAAGGCGGCCTTACTAGGAACTGCTTCCATCCTGCGACGATATCTGTAATACCATCAAACATCCACATCTGCCTATCCCAGGTCCTAGGTAAGGACTTGATAGGTAGACAAAATGCCAAATCCAGTCTGAACATCTGACTGACTATGCGATGATCCATAATAATAATAATAATAAAGTTAGAAGGGACCTTGGGGTCATCTAGTCCAACCCCCTGCTCAGACAGGAAACCCTATACCATTTCGGACAAATGGCTGCCCAGTTTCTTCTTAAAAACCTCCAGTGTTGGAGCATTCACCGCTTCTGGAGGCAGGTTGTTCCACTGGTTAATTGTTCTAACTGTCAGGAAGTTTCTCCTTAGTTCTAGGTTGCTCCTTGTCCTGCCTTCAGGCGCTTTGGAAAATAGCTTGACTCCCTCTTCTTTGTGGCAGCCCCTGAGATATTGGAACACTGCTATCATGTCCCCCCTCGTCCTTCTCTTTGTTAAACTAGACATACCCAATTCCAGCAACCGTTCCTTATATGTTTTAGCCTCCAGTCCCCTAATCATCTTTGTTGTTCTTCTACGTACTCTTTCTAGAGTCTCAACATCTTTTTTACATCATGGTGACCAAAACTGGATGCAGTATTCCAAGTGTGGCCTTACCAAGGTATTGAAGAGTGGTATTAATACTTCACGTGATC